ATTTTTTTTATTAAGTTTTCTTATTTTTTATTATTGTGCTTGTCATTAATTAAGTACAGAATAAATTTATTTTAATTTTTAAAAAATTTATTAACCCACTTAAGATTTTTTTTTTTAATTCAACATAAACCTAAAATTGTCAGAAACTGGGCCAGTGTCAATAACTGGGTCTTTTACCTTATATTACTTGTGTTTGTAATCAATAGAGTATTTTTGTTTGAAAATTTTAGACTGTGATATGAATTTCAGAAAATCCCAAGGAAGTGTCGGAAATATGTAGAGATATTGACGTGTAAAGTCAGGAGACTCGGGTTCGATTCCCGACGAGGACGCGACAGCAGCAACATTTATGCCTCATTAATTTGAAGCATGTAGAAAATAATAAATCACTTGTGTCTAACTTGTGCTCACCAAGAAACTCATTCCTATCTTATGTCCAAATAATTAACGTTTGCAATTAATTATCTAATCACGTCATTACACGGTAAAGTAATGCTGATGCACAAATGATCGTAACGAGTTTTCAATTTAGAGGTTATTTTGTGAATTAAGTAGCTAGGAACCTTGCTCATTTGCTTAAGTGACGTGATTGGTCACGGTAATATTTTATTTGTAAAAACTGTACATGCGTATTCAATATCCAACACGATTTTACTATCATCATCATCATAAGATACCGTAAGACTGGTTGGACACGCATCACTATAACTATAACTTTAACCTAACTTAACCTAACTTAACCTAACCTAACCTAACCTAACCTAACCTACCCTGAGCTAATCTTCGCATTTCCCTAAATCTAGAATATCGTACATCCTTAACTATTTCTGAACAGTAATCTAATCTAGGTCTACCTCTACCCCTCTAAACTCTTGTTTCTGTTTTCAGCATATCTCTAACTAGCCCTTAAATAAGATGTGCTACCAACCTACGTATTTCTTTGTTCCTTTGTTCTCCTATTTTTTCTAATACTTCTTCATTTCTAACCTTTTCTATCCACGGTAGTCTCATCGTTCTCCTGCAACACCACACTTCGAACGCTAAACAAAAGTCACATTGAAACCCATGATTGGTGGCTTATTTTTCAGCTTTTACTATTTAGGTGGTTTATACAAGTATAGAGTTCAACATAAAATGTATTTCATTACTTTTATGCTACACACATCGAGAAAAACAATCATTAGAATTTACATCAAATATGAACGTCACATACCGAAGTTGTCATGATTGTAGCAATTTATTTAAAGTAGGTACAATACTAGATATACTATATAGAAACTACTTGTAACATTTTGGGATGAACTGCAAATTATAAGACAATGATATACAGGATAGTGTATACTTTCACAGTAGCTGAGTGTCAATTCTTTGCATTTTAAAGAAAACAAAACGAGACAAGTATAAAGTTCGGTGATCCTTAAAGTTACATTCTTGAAGATCAAACATCTGGTATTTAGGGTTCCTCTTGTANTTTCTAATAAAGGTATCTATTTGTTTACTTATACTAGGTAATTTCGAAAGCCTAAGAGTGAAGGTTGCAGATTCGTTGAACTAAAGTATTATCATCTGGTAATGAGTCACTTTAACAGCAGCAACACTTTTACCCCATGATTTTGAGTTTATCTACAGTGGGTAAAGTATATGAATTCACTCATGCATAAAATTTAACTATAAAAAAAAACTCAAAGTGTCTCATTATCTGTAATGATTATACATTGGTTCGACGATTTTGCAACGTACGTATAATTGAGTTTGTCTATTTATTTACACTACTGTTGATATATCACTATTTACAGGGCTATTTATTTCACTGCTATCACTGTCAATTTATTTCTGGATTCACTTCTTCCACAGTCAATTTATTTCTTCTAATCTCGGCGATCGTCTCTTCCTATAAATACTCTTTTGTTTACTTTCGGGAACCTTCTGGAAACATCCGGATAGTTTATTTTTTATTTCAACTGTAACTGCTTTCCCAGAACGTAGGTACAACACACACATTTACAAATACGGCGCACATGAAGAAAGGTGCCCGCGGCTAGTCGGCGAATCGACAAGCCGTTCACGCATACGTGTGCCCGATCGCACACAAATACGCTCGTGCTCGCTACAGTATAATTGAGGTTGCTACTGTCACCACCCCGTAGTTTAGTTTAGTGGCGCGTAAAATCGATGGCTCTTATTCAGTTCTTGACGAGGAAATGATAGCAGCTATAGATATATATATATATTATTGATTTGAGGTTATAACGGCAATAAAGGGTATTTTAATAATACTTACGAGGGTTGGATAGTACAAAAGCAATGTTAGCTAAAACGAACAAAATTCTCATTTCGCCTGATTCTCTCAAAAACGTTCAAAGGTTCTAAAAAAATCGCTTTTATACCTACCTTTTTCCGCTGTTCAGATTAATAAATTCCTACTTGAGCTTAAGTAGGTACTATCAACCCGTAATACCTTTGGATATTTCACTAGTTTAGAAGATAATATCAGATATCAGTATTTGTACGCTCCATGAATTACGTAGCAAACCATTACTAATCAGAATTTTTCTAAAAGACAAAACAGCTTCACAACAAACGTCACGTAATGATAATTTCAAAAGATGATTGTTTTAATTGTCGTCATTGTTGTTGAGCATTGTTTACATGGGTTTTTCCTGAAAGGGCAAAAGATGATAATCAACTAATTAAAATGTTATCAAATGATAAATTGCCCGAAGGTAGTATGGAAACACGTAAGGAATTGAACTAATAATTAAATCAAGTGAGAATCTGCATAAATTTTCAAATCACTCAACAGTTGCAAATTCATTAGATCTACCAATTGCTTTGTCCATTATTGTTTGACAATACCACGTTACGATTAAGGATATCGATAAGTGAAGCCGATCCCACGGCGTAGCGGTCTAAGTGATGAGGACATAGACTGAGCTGGGGCAAATACGCACTAAAAAAATTACAAAATTGGTTTTAAGCTTATCTCTTGAATGGAAACGCTACAAACTGAGTTTGCAACAGTCACTTCACTTTAGAATATATTCGGTAATTTCGAAAACCTTAAAACTGTGAAGTAGCTGACTACTGCATAGGGGCAACTCCTGCTTCTCTTGTCCTGAATTGTTTGAAGGCTAATATGTATGGTACGTTAAGGAAACGATGTAAAAAGGAAAGAAGAAATGTCTTAATGCAAAGAGGATGGGCGATCACACACTACTGGAGGAAACTGGAAAAAGACAGAAGTGCATGGAATGAGCTGGAAAGTTTAACTACAAACATTGATAAGCAAAAAAGAAGAATAATGGGATACTTGAAATTCGCACGGGAATACAAGAAAAAATGAAAGGAAAGGGAGGAAGAACCAAATTATTTGAAAGACAAAAGAGCAAATAGTAAATGACTTAGTTTGAACAGAAAGATTTAGATTGGAAAGTGAGAATAGGACGAAAAAGTACTGGGAAGAAGAAGAGAAGAAAATATGCAGGCTGTGTAAACTAGAAGTAGAGACGCTCGAACATATTTTGGAGAGATCTCGAAATAACAGGATGTGGAAGGAAAGGATTTTCTAAAAAGGATGAGAGAAATATTATGGTGGAGCAAAATAGCAGAAAAGCCAAAAAAAAATAGTTTGTAAAATTCATATGTAGTCATATAATTAGCATGTGAAAGCAACTTGTTTATATAAATTATAATATATTTAATAATGCTAAAGGCAGAAGTGAATGAAAAAAGGTGGAAAGTTTAACTAAAGACATTGATAAGTAAAATAAGAAAAAAAATGAGAAACATAAAATGGAGGAAAAGAGAGGAGAAACCAAATTATTTAAAAGTAAATAAACTAAATAATGAAAAAATAAAGAGTAAAAACGAATTAGTTTTAACA